TGACAGTGGGCTTTAATACTCGCGCTACTGTGGAGCAGAGCCAGACCGAACTTCCCCGACCTCAAACCTTGTGGGCGGGACTAAGTTCGGACTGGCACCCAGGCTACTAAAATGCAAAAACAAAAGAGGAATAAAAGAATCCTTTTTAGCAGCAGTATATGTGACATTCAGTTGTTATTTAGACATCAGGGATTTATTTCTATCTAATAGGAAATCAAATGTGTTAAGAGCATGACATAAAAAAGATGATGATGAAAGAAAAAAAAAGCAGAAATAAAACTTGAAGGGAAGAACATCCTCAACTGATTAAGGACATTAAACATTTAATTTTCAGCTATAATTGAATTTAAAAAATACATGAAGAGCTTTGAAAGTTAAATATGGAAGGAATATAAAGAAAATATAATCTCACTAATAGACTGTAATGTAATCTAAACAGTACTCTTATCTCACGAATTGACTGCACAAAGAGACTGCACTTCAGACTTATTGCTAATGCAAAGATATTACAATATCTAGCCTAAAGAACAGTTGTTGCATTATTTTTAATCAAGCACATGACTAAGTTATGTAAATGAAACTGAGGCCTGTAACAGTAGTTTAGGCCAACTCTGACTTTTTCTTTGATTACATTTTTGCTTCTTGTTTTGAAGTGTAGTGGCAGTTTTATTGTCTTATATCAGAAATCAGAATCAGAATATATCCTACAACATGGNCTGAGGTGAAAGTGAGAATTCTGAGATTGAGTCAGGATTCTGAGATTCAGTCAGAATTCTGAGATTGAGTCAGGATTCTGAGATTCAGTCAGAATTCTGAGATTGAGGCAGAATTCTGACCAAAAAAAGTCAGAAAAAAGTTAGAATTCTGAGGTGAAAGTGAAAGTGAGAATTCTGAGGTGAAAGTCGGAATTCTGAGGTGAAAGTCGGAATTCTGAGTTTAAGATTGAGTCAGAATTCTGACGAAAACAAATTCAGAAAAAAAGTGAGAATTCTGAGGAAAGAAAGTCAGAATTCTGACATGAAAGTCAGAATTCTAACTTGTTCCAATATTAAACTGAAATAAAATTTAAACAATCAGTTAACTTATTTTTTTCAGTGGCCCTAATCCTTTTCCGTATATTTAACTTGCATCTTTTTAAGCAAATAAATTTGAAGGGACGCAGCTACCTGCTTTAAAATGCCATTTCCCATGCTGTTACCTTAATGCGAAGCCTTTGAGTCAGCCACAAACAATACATAGGGTAGCGAAGCAACAGGCTACATGTTCAAACGCAGCAGCTGCTTTACCACAGAGCCACTTTATAAAGGGGGATCTTGCCCATATTTATTTATGAAGGCAACATAGAACCAGAGGCAGACATTAAACTGAGCTAACATAACTACTAATGGAGTAAACTTACCGTAGTATCAGCCGCAGCGGCCAAACGGCTCGTTTTAATGGCCTCAATCCGGTGCCTTATTGCTGCCAAAGCTAACTTGGCTTTAACTTGTGTGCAGCACCTGGTCTGAGGTCGAGGCAGGCCTCGGAGCAGCGTTTCCAGTTGTTTCAGGCTAAATTTAGCTAGCTGTGGTGCTTGCTAACTAATAACGTTGAGGACACTCACCAGTGTGCCCTCCCTCCCTTCCATAGTCTCCCCCCTTCAGTTTGTAGATGTGATGCTAATCGGGCTGCTAGCCTCCTTAACTCTGTCCCACCAGAAGTGAGAAAAACACAAAAAGGTCGAAACCACAGATGTGCAGCTGTCTCTGACACTGATTAAACATGCCGAGTTTTCCTACTGGGGTAAATTAAACAAGCAGGAATTATGTCCAGTCTCTCACTACTTGGACGATTTTTTTTTTCTCCAAAATCTCCTTTCCTGGCTCCTCACGGCGCATGTCAGTGACGCAACATGTTCGTAACCATGGGAACGCATTGTTCTACAACTAAAGGGGAATACAGAACGAAGTGAGAAATTATGGTCATTTTAAGTGATAAGATAAATAATATAACAATAATAAAAAAAAAAAAGTTTTAATATTTTACAAAAAAATAAGTACTTATATTTATTATTTGTCTTTTGTTGTGTTGATTGGAAATATAAAGGGAAAGAAAACGTTTGCTGTTTGGCCTCATGTTAATTACCTATATGGGGTTTGATGCAGACACCTTTGTGAAAAACAGGAAACCAATACAAATTTTGGAAGGTTTAATTTGAACATATTTTCATCTCAAGTTTCTCCCACATAAAGATTTCACTTATCCACTCTTTCGCCATTCAGTATGTGCAAAACCCTTATGATTCCCACATACACATGTTGAGTGGGAAGTATGCTGCCTGAGTACCCTGAAATGTTTCAATGCCCTTTATAAAACTCCAACGCTCAGACCATCACGTAGACTTAGATCTTTATATTACACTTATGCATGTATTTACAGCTTTTTTTCATTTTGACAAAATGTAGATTCTTAGGCTACAATGAGCTGAAAAAAAATCACAGTGAGATTTGCATGATCAAGTAAAATATACATTTCTGGTCTGCAGGGTGTGATTCTGTGCTTCCTCTAGAAAAACAAGTATCTCATGGCTTCAGTGGCTTTTGTGGTTTTAATTTCAGTGCTCTTTTTCAAAGTGCTTTTTCCTCCGTCCTTCCCATACACGTCCGTCGTACTCGCTCCATATTTTGATCCTCTGGTAATAATGTTCATCTCAAAGACTGCATCATCAAATGTGTTGCGTTCAGGTTTTTGATTGTCTGACATCCTTCCACTCCATTTTGGTGTTTTGAAGGGCCTGAGTCTTCTTCTCGTCCACCTGCACGTAGTCCACTTTGTACTCATCAGAGAAAAATGGCTTCTGCTGGACGTAACAAATGAAAGAGAGGGAGATAGTAAAGAGATGTGGTGGGATTTTATAGACCTTTTTTGCAATCTTTAAAGCTGTTTGTAATTTTGTTAATTTTCTTAAGGAAAATTGTTGTATTGATGAGGTGGGATTCTATGAAGTAAGTAAGATCCACTAGTTACAAAAACTTTGAAGATTCATAAAGCTATACCGCTGTTATATGGATCTAGGGCTGCAACTAACGATTATTTTGCAAATCGATTAATCTGTTGACATTTGTTCGATTAATCGATTAATAATTGGATAGCCAAAGGTTCCTCAAAGAAGATTTTTTTACTAAATTAAACCAGCAGAAAACTAAAACTTTTCCACTTGTTGGGTTATGGATAGAACATTTTGACCGATGAAAACAATTCTTTCTAATCTTAAATGCAAAGTGTTTACATATCCTTTTGCAATTTTGACATAATTACTACTCTAGGTGGATTGCTCTGTCAGCTAATGACATGTTCTACAGTCCCTATGCTCCAGTTAACGATCAATCGATTACTGAATTAGTTGACGGTTATTTCAGTAATCGATTAACCACGATTAATCCGATTAATTGTTTCAGCCATATATGGGTCTGAACCTAATGCTTCTTTAAATGGCAACTAAAAGCTTAAAGCAATTTGCTTAAAAATGAGTGCTTGTTGTCAAAGGGCTACAGCATGATCAACAATAACAACTCAGAACTACTCCCAACAGTCCCACTCATATATCACTTTAAGCTGTGAGCTCTCCCTCCTACAAAAAGCTCAATACACTCAATTGATCATACAGTGAGACATGTTTTTATAATTCCTAGTGGAAATACAAAAGGCAACACTAACAGCAATAAAATACACAGTTTTCAGTTGCAAGTCATTAGTAGAATAAATCAGGAATTGATCAATTGAATTAATCTGCTAAAACATACCTTTTGCACAGGGGAAGGGGATGCAGAGTTAAAATCCAGTGACAGATAATCAAGGTTTGAGCTTCTCTTCCAAGGCTGAGCTGCTCCATCAAAGGGGAGACAGAATGACTGCCTTGATTCCTGCCAGAGAGAGGGTGGGATATGAGCCTCAGTCTTCAAGCCTGGATTAACCATTTTAAAGCATATATTTTATATTCCAGATCTAAAAGTCTATTTGACTGCTTCCTATTTGTATTTAACTAGAATATACTAAGTCCTGCTGGCTGTAAACATCAATATTTTCTGGGCAACGAACACTAGATAGTAAGAACCACAGCACCACTCTAACACTGGGGTGAGGATTATTCAGTGAATTAAAAAGATCTAGTTTTAATATCAGTAAGATGCTTGAAATGAAGCAGAGGAAGCACACAGATATAAGAACCTAATTAGAAGGACACTGTATTTTCTAAGGTACATAGAGATATTTCTGTGGTCTATTCAGGCTCCAACAAAAGGAGAGCAAAACTTACACTAGATAACAGAAAGGCTAATAATGCTACAGAGAAATTGCTCCGTGAGTTCGTTTTTTTTTTTTTTCCACAAGACAAGGAGTTTCATATAAAGAAATATCAGCTG